GGGCCATTCGGTAAGATATTCTGGCAAACGCGCTACCATAATCATTACACTCACTTGCATTAATAACAGCCGACATTAGCTTGCATTTTACTTGTTCGTGCAAACATCGTCTACCACGAAACTTTTAATGATAACATGAAATGCATTTCATGGAACTAAGTTCCTTCTTGGTGACTGTGTGTGGACTTAATTGCCATATAACTAAGATGCAAAGTCACCAGGTATTTGGCAGTTAAACGGGGCGCAGTTTTTTAAAAATAGTTTTTAATTATCGATCAATTCTATGAACGCGACTCAGACGCATCTGTCAGAGGGAAACAATACAAACTTTTTCCAAGAGTCTGTGGCAGCCAACTTCATGATGGATTCCGCTTTGGACACTATTCATTTCCCGGATAATATAATACACGACGTTTCGGAAGATCGCTCTGTATCCGCGCTGAGTGAAAATTAATATCTTCATGTAGCTGACTGCAGAATAATACTCCATTTCCAACCCTGAAGATGAATACAGCGAGCTGCCTAAACGCCGGGCTTTGCTGATATAAATTGTAGGAATTCTGCGGTGACGATATGAATCTCCATGTTGATAAGAAGAACGTTGCAAGACTGGTCTATCATCATCGCTATTACTTCGCGTCACATATTAATTTTACTGTTTGAGAGCGTACACCAGAATTCTTCTTGAGAAGCTAATAGGTCCTTAGGCAGTCAAGGATGTCCTCGCCTTTTGAGGAGTCACAAGATCCAGCCACGGGTCCTCATCCTGAGCCAGTTCAACCCAGTCGACATCACTCTTCGCCGAGCTGCCTCTTGGTCTCTTTCCATCTGCACCTTCGGTTCCGAGATGACTTCTTCCTTGAGGCTCCCAACCTGCATTTTGAGGACATTCGTATTCTAGCGTGCATAACCGGCCCCTGGACCAGCTGCAACCAGGCTCGCAAAACTGTTTGTTGAAGTCACAAGTTCAGTTGTTCGTTTCCTTTACTCCGAAAGGTTTGATTTTTCTTTTTTGAGATTCTCACCTGGTCAGATGCTTTGCGTACAAATGCCACGCGTGACATTCACCGTACTGTGTCAGACGCAAGCTCTTGCAGGCGCACATTTAAAATAATAAGCCCGTGTAGCTCACAGTAATTCGTACACAGTTTAATAAAAATGATGTTCGAGGACATGCTGTGGTAATTTTTCATTTACGAGTAAGCGTTTTTAAGGATAAACGAAAACTAACTATTAGCTCTCTAAAGTACAAGGGGGGGGGTCGTTCGTGCGTCGAGGGAGGAAAAACGTTGGACACGTGGCATCTCCGCCATGCGGGCTACGCGTATCGCCCATCCCACCCTTGCAACTATTTTAATTCAAATGGAAGGAAACTGTAGGAAGACAAAGAAAACGAAAGTTTTAAAAATAATTACTCGTTGAGGAGGGACGGGCTGATCGAGCATCTGTTGACCGCGCTGTCCTGACAGGCCCATCCCACCCACCTCCTGTCCAGCTGATTAGCTGTCAAGGCGTTCTGGCCCCTCACCTTCATCTGAAACCGACGAC